AATAGTCCTTGAACCGCAAAACCGGATACAACACGTCCCTCAACTTACAAAACCAATGCAAATTACTAGGTCCCTCGGCGGTTTTTGACTCCGGTTTTATCTGACGTGACAGCTGACTCAGCGTGGGACCCACGTGGGTCCTACATGTCAGCCTCTTCTTCCCCTCCCTTTGTTGGATAGCCTCCATAGACCAAGTCCACATACCCCTCAGGCCTCGGCCTCTCACTCATGCTGCATAGAGAAGCACTCAAGCACCAGAGAGAGAGAGTCGACGGGCGACGACAGGGAATAGCCAGGGGACCAGGACCTAGTCGACGGCGGAGGAAGTAGATGGTAGAGGAGATCCGGCATCCGGCAGCGTGGTGAGCTTAAGCGACAGCGGCGCCACGAGCCCGCCGGCTATGGCAGCGAGACAGATTCCCCCGAGCGGCGATGGAGACAGTGGCGGACCTCTCCCTGGAGCAACGTGAGCGAAGGTGGATGCCGAGGCCGGCGTAGAGGGGATAGACCGGCGGGAGTCCGCGGTGGTCAGCGTGGAGGAGTCAGGGACGCGGAGGATGGCGCGGCGGCAACTCGGCAGGACCGGCAAGTGTGGTGGCCAGGCAGTCATCGGGCACCGGCTGACGGTCTAGGGACGTTGAGGTCGACCGGCCCGGGGACGTGCGCCACACCTGGGGCGAGGCCGCCCCGACGTCGCGGCTGGAGTCCAGCCATCGCCGAGTTCCCGTTGATCACATGATCACCTTTGCCACCGCGCCGTCACCTTGGGCAGCCTCCGCCGCGCCGCTCCCTGTCAGCGCTGACCCGCCTCCGCCGGTCATCTCCGCCACCAGCACTGGGGATCGACGAGGAGCCATGGCGGCGGGATTTGGCGCATGCGCTGTCGGCGACGGTGGTGGCGGCGGCGTGGGGGGAGGCCCTCCTGCTCCCACTCGTCGTCGCCGCCGCCTCCCCCACCGGCCTCCTCCCCTCACGCCGGCTGGGCTGCCAGTGAAAAGAAGAGGAGAGAGAGGAAGAGAGGTGGAGAAGGGAGGGGAAGAAGAGGCCGACATGCGGGACCCATGTGGGTCCCACGCTGAGTCAGCTGCCACGTCGAACAAAACCGGAGTCAAAAACCGCCGAGGACCTAGTTTGTACTGGTTTTGTGAGTTGAGGGATACGTTGTATCTGGTTTTGCGGTTCGAGGACGATTTTGTAACTCAATAGCAAGTTAAGGGACCTTGGGTGTACTTTTTCCTTATCAAAACGGCAAGGCCCAACTACGCGTGGGCTGTACGTGGCCCAGTACTCAAGCTAAACTCTTTCGAGACTCGATTATCATCATGGTTTAATTTCTTTCTTCTCTTATGCTAGCTCTGAATATTTTGGTTTTTATTTTTTGTTGTGAATATAGGTCTTACGCAATCATTTGATTTTCGTAGATGATCATATTTTGGATAATTATATATGTCAGGTTTAATTATCCATCGAAACAACCATATGCATACTTACGCTTACTTTTGGCTCTGGGAGATGATCAAATAGATGCTGACATTTGATGCATGTCTAGATATATAGGAGTAAAGTTTCATCCAGCCGCTAACTATAAACACTTAGTACCTTTATAAGGTAGATAAGAATATGAGATAAGTACACATAGCGTGTACTTTGGCTTTGTGTTAGTTAATTGCGTTTACGCGACAGATCATCGGTCATTGTCGACTCTCAACTTAATTTTAGTCCGACGAAATTATTGGCAAGTTGCAGCCTGATGTCGACATGAGAGGCCAAAACTATATTATTAAACTGGTGGTCAGCAGCTGTGTGATGTGTTCGTTTTCCAGGGCGTTTATTACGTCGCCCTCACTTTCTTCACAACAGTTGAACTTTTGTTTGTGTGGCTAATTATTATTAGTATTTCCTTTAAAATTATAATTATAATGATGGATGATAAACTTGTGGGTCAAAAAGACGCCTAAAGTCCACTGTAAATGGAGTAAATATAAATACTAGCTATCAATGGTTTTTAATAGGTAATTAAATTTCAATTTGTGCTGATAGTGTCTGCTTCATATGCTTCCTAGCTAGCTAGTTTTCTCATAATTAGTTTTGCTAGTAGTTTTATAATTCTTCCTTTTCTGCTTCAGAGGATATACTCCTAAATATTTATGCTTTCTTTTTAGAACTCACGTGTGGCTGACTAAAGTATCTCCTGTTGACTGAAAGTGACCTTTTTCTGCTCAAAGAGCATAAATTTCTTTAGAAAAAGGAGGAGGAATATAATTCTTTTTTTTTGGACCATGGAGGAGGAATATAATTCTTTTTTTGTGGACCATGGAGGAGGAGGAATATACAGAACTCATTATATATTATCTATAACTAAAGTGACTTATATATATTCTGACGTACTTATTATATATGCAGAGAGAAAGAAATATGGGATTCATATCCATAACTGACATGACTTATGCTAGCTCTGAGGTACAAATAACAGAAGATTTCGACCTTGCAAGTTGAGAAGAATAAGACTTTTCGATCGACTACTGTTTCATATTCCATATGAAAATAGTTAAGGTTGGGTCAATAATGCTACAAACAAGAGGTTTGAAAACACAAAACGTACGAGCACCAAACTATGACTTCTGAGAGACCAAGTTAATTGCATGCTGTATGGCCATATTTCAGAGAAACGCACGGACTTTTTAAAAAAAGCACCGGGAAAATGTAACAATATCAGAAATATGAATATTTTGATTATACTTAAAATATGGTCAACAATTTTTATTTCCATTGAGCCTTTGACAATGTCTATTTTGATCAGACGCATCATGTTGTTTTCAACATGCAAATTTGACCAATGCTTTTATGTGAATTCGCTCACTCAATTAAAAAAATATAAAGTTGATTTATAACAATATATTTCATTATAATAAATCTAGTATTAAATTTAAAATTTACTAGAAAAAATGCCCGTGCGTTGCAACGGGTGAAATCTATTTTAATCTTATTATTGTCATATGGTTTTAGTTAAGATGAAATTCACTGTGAGAGTTCGCTTGGATATATATTTTTTTAGAAAATCATAAGCTACAGTTAGGAGTCCGATCGTCTCAAGTTAGTATGTGAGTTTTTTTAATCAGATTCTTATATGATTTCTTCTGTATTACCAAAAATGAACGATCTAAACACCGATTCAAATACGAATATGTATTTCCAAAAGCAAACGAACTTAAAAACCGGCTCATACACGAATGATATAGTAGAGATATAGCCATTCTGAATACTTCATATAGGTCAAATTCTAGTATTTTGCATCATCCATCCTAAAATACAAACAATTATGGTATTTTGCATGAAAATTAAGATAAATTGGTCAAATTAAATTAGAGGTACTTGTGATTGGTTCATATGAAGAAGTAGGAAAAGAATCTAAATGAGAAATAATTACGATTAGTTAAGATAAAAGAATAGTTAAAAGAATTACTTGGATATTTTAGACAAATGCCAACACTAAAAGAAGATCTATTTTAAGACAAAAGAGAATATATATAGTTTTAAACATTTCTATGCTTTTTCACTTACACATACAGAAGACAACAAAGTGGCAGACCGCAGGCGAACAAATCGATCGGTTGGTTATGTGAAAACAAAACGAGAGTCACAGCAACTGCGCCCGGATTTGCGTGCGTTTGGACAGACAGACAGATAGACACACGAGATCCATCGAGTAGCTGCTGCCGACAGGCAGCCCAATGTACTGTTCATAAGAGCAAGTTTAATAGCATAGCCAACTAATAGCTCCAATTCATCTATAGCCAACCTAATAGCTTATTTATACAATAGTTACATACTACACTATTAATATCTGGTCTCACTTATCATACACACAGTGTGTCTTGGAGTCCGTGCTACATCTGGCAACAAATCTGTAGCCCGCTGCTCTTCTCTCTTATTATTTATCTCTTTAAAATATATTTACAGCTGGTTTATAGCCCGCTATTGTAACTTCTCTAAGGTGAGGTGTCGAGAGGAGAGGAGAAACAAAGTTTTGGGTTCCAAGGAGGAGGCAACTTGCACTGCAAATCTTCAATGCAGACAAAAAAACACAGTGCCACAGCCACAGATCCTATTCCTAGACAGAGGGTCAGGTGTATTACAAACATCCATAAAAAACAGTTTCGGACTTTTCAGGCCGGATCGAAAATCATAAGCCGTTTATAATTTTTAAGTTCACAAAACTCATATTGAATTTTAATACTCTTTTTTTACAAAGTTTGTTTTTTATTGTTTCTTTTTCGTTTATCAATGATTTTTATGAAATCTGAATATACAACTCTCCTCGTATTTGCGAGAAAGTGTCTGAATGGTTGAGCTCAACTAATAAACCATAAAAATATAAATAAAACATTAAAAATTTTATATGTGTATAATTTATGTTTTAAAAGCTAACGTTGAAAAATATACTATTCTGAAAAAAAGCCCCAAAATCAACTTTCCAAAAATTTCATTTTGGCTACAGCTAATAAACCAACAAACATGAAAATGATTTATCATCAATTTTGTATATGGAGTTAGTAATATCACACCGAGCGAGTACATATATAACTTAAAACCAATATAGTGGATAATGGATATACCAGATACGAGGAGAAAATTCAGATAAGTGTAGTGTGGTGCAAAGGTGCAGTGAGCATTCAACACAGATGTGGCCTAAAAAACCGGTCAGAACTCACCAAGTTCCCACCAACACAAGCACATGAAGAAAAAGGGCAGCCACAGCTGATGCCAATCAACATCACATCCAGCCAAAAAGGAGCACTTTTCTAAATAGGAGTATATACTACCAAGAGCAGCAATAATCTCCAAAAGATCATCTCTAGGAGTAGTTGAATTCTTCTGAACCCCAATATTCTAATGCCAAATATTCAGAGGCCACTTAATCAGGCAAGGAGAGTTTAGTCAGGGTGTGTCAATAGATCAACGGCTTTCCCAAGTTGGTGATGGTGACTGCAACAATTGGGGCAGATTGATGGAGACAGATGGTGAGAAGGCAGAAGCTATCCCTGTTTGAGATCATCCCTGCACCAAAAATCCAACTCATAAAGAAATTCATATTTTGCAAGTGAAATTGTGGGAACAAAAGGAAAAAAAGCCCAAAGCCAAAAGCCAAAGCCAAAGGCAAGACAGATTGTGACAGATTCCATATATTGTTTTGATTGTTTGCTCCTATCTCTAAGGAACTCTCCAACCTGAAAGGATTCCAACTTGAAACCAAAGCTTGCTGCTTCTTTTCTCTCATTTGTCTGAAATTCATCCATTTTTTCAGTAGACAAGGCAAGAAAAGGCAAGTTGTGCAAAGTTTTGTTCTTCAGATTAGCTTGGAGGCAGGCAAAAGAAAAAAATAAGGCGCCAAACTTTGTGTGCTCCTGGATCATAGGAAGAAATATCCAAGAGATTGGTAAAAAAAGGCGCCATTTTTGAGAGAAAGGCGTCTCCTTGCGATCAAGCTGGTGATGTGATCGAAGAGTAGAGGCGGCGATGGAGGCGGCGGAGCTGGTGAAGAAGATACGGGAGCTGGAGGAGGGCCAGGCCGAGCTCAAGCGGGAGATATCCAGGATCGTGCCGGAGCGCGGCGGCGCGCGGCGGCCGCCGACGCTGCCCGCGCAGCAGAGGCGCACCGCGCTCCCGCAGGCGGCGGCGGCGGCGCCGTCGTCGCGGCTCCTGCAGCGCGTGGGCCGCGCCGGACTCCCCGACCGGCACTACGTCAGGATCCTGCACTCGCTGGGGCAGGCCGTGCACGTCATCTCCCTCGACGGCAAGCTCATGTATTGGTGAGCCTTTGTTGCTTGTTTTCTTGCTCATCAAGTGCTTGACGAAATGCTAGACTAGTTTGATGCAGAGGGTTGAAGCGAAATTTACTGAAATTAGTTTGACGGTTGAGCTGTAGTTCGTGCAATCTTGCTGCTGGGAATGGTGTATTAGTGCGGTATTCCTGGCTAATGTGATGGTACCTGCATTATGACGGTGTATAGAGAAAAATGGAGGTTTAGTGGGATGAACTCTGTTGCTAAATTCAGAATGGAGAAATACTTTTCTGTAGATGCCAGGTCTTTAATTTCAGTGACATCCTCTAGAGTTTTATTAAATTAGATAATGAGTATGGAAGTAAATTAATAGTGGAATAATTGATCAAGTGCCTACTGTGAATAGCTATGAGTGCAAGCAACTCCAAGTATCTATTCCTTCTTGTATTACTGTACAGAGAATTGCACTTGTTTTCTGGAAAAACTATTAGAATGTATGGTGCAGGACCTGAAGAGACATGTTGCAAGAATAATGGTTGTAGTTTCCTATTTCCTTATATGAATATACATCTGGAATACTTTTAAGGTAACTAAATACATAGCATTGTTCAATGCATGTAACTATATCAGATCTCATGCACAATCTTATCATTAACCTGCCTCAGCAGGCATGTTTGCTCTAAATTTCATTTTACCACAGTTTGATGCAACAAGTACAACATTCCTTACCAGATATTTCTATTTTTACTTCAACCCAGGAACCGGTACGCGGAGCATCTGTACGGCTATTCTGTTCCTGAAGCAGTTGGTCAGGATGCCCTTGAATTAATTGTTCATCCTAGTGACTATGGTGCAGCAAACGACATCATACAGAATATATTCATGGGGAAGTGTTGGAGAGGGAAATTTCCAGTTAAACACAAGTCAGGGGAGCGTTTCAACATCGTCGCCAGTAACACGCCTTTGTATGATGATGATGGTAGCTTGGTAGGCCTCATCTGTCTCTCAACTGATACGCGGACATTGGAGGAGATACTTGGCCATTCAACCTCAGGGAAAGTGTATCCGAGTTCAGCAAAGCCGCGCGTTCAACTCAATGGGTCCAAAAGTGGTTTGCTAAACAAAGTTTCTTGTGACTCCCAGCAACCTCTTCAATCTGCTATCACCTCCAGGATAACAAATTTGGTAAGTCATACCTCTGAGCAAACAAAATAATTGACTATAATAGAAAGTCTCTTCTGGTATTTCTTCATGATTTATTTTGTAGTGTATACTTTGATTTTTAGAGTAACAAACACAGGCTACCAGGGTTACAAATAGAGTTCGCTCTCGGGTCAAGACGGGTCAGAATTGCGATGATCAGTTCGGTGGTGCCTGTGAGAGCCATTATTCTGAACATGATGCCAGAGAAGAGCAGACATCTAGTGAAGGAAGCACCCCAAGTGGGGATGTTCTTCATGGGGCCTTTGTTAGTGAAGACAATTACTCTGGGAAGTCAAGCAAAACAAACAGTGATGACTCAGGAGAAGGAAAACTGGGGCTTCACAAAATTCTTAGCTCAACAGCAGAGGCACTGTGGGCCAACAGGGGAATTCCATGGCCTTGGAGAGGTCATGGAAATGATGATGCTGGGAAGAATCGAACGAACTTGCCACAGTTCCATGAAATTCAAGAGAATGGACAGAGCCATAAGGAAGTTCCAGAGCCAATCATACTACCAGACTGCCAAGATACTGAATTTGTCCAGGAAGTCAAATATGAGGTTTCAGGTTCCTGGTGGTCTTTCAATGCCAGCACAAGTAGTATGAGCAGTACTGGAAGCACTAATAGCAGTGCTATCGAGAGAGCAGATCGTGAAGCAGACTGCCTGGATTTTGAAATTCTGTGGGAAGACCTGGCAATTGGAGAACAAGTTGGTCAAGGTAGTTATTTCTCACTTGGTAAATTTTCTGTGTACACATGTAGAAACACATTTACTTCAACACATTCGTACTCAAGCATAATCACTTTAGTTGGTTTCATGATCTCTCAATGGTCATGGTACCATGACTAGTCTTGCATATCAAGACAGGCTACACGGATGGCACTTTGCCTCCATATGGTTTTTTTTCGATAATGGAAGCTTTATTAAAACTCAGTCAAATACACCAAGATGATACATTTCAACTGAGCCCACTCCCGGCCTCTGCATAAAATGCACACAACCACACACAAAGAAAGACCTATGAAGACCCCTCTCACAAAACAGAAATATTAGTGGCTATCAATCCGTAGACTAGATCGCCAACCATGCTCCTGGGTAAAAAAAACTCCTGTGCCACCTTGTCCAAACGTCGCGATACCACCACAATAGTATCCTGAAGACCCGGTTTGTGGAGGATAGCTCAGGTGCGAAGCCACCGGGTGACTAAAGTAATAACCTCTAGATCGTGAATTCCAAGCCCACCTTAATCTTTGGGACGACAAATAATGTCCCACTTAGCAAGCCGATATTTTTTCTTATGTCCATCCCCTTGCCAATAGAACCTAGATCGAAAGTAGTCAAGTTTCTTACATACCCCGCTAGGTATTGCAAGGAAAGACATCATATACATTTGTTCTCCAAAGAGCAAATGTATATAGCCTCCATATGGTTATATCTGAAAGTTAATGGAACTTCCTTTTGTTTACTTACGAATGTTCATGTGCATAATTAGAAAAAAAATGAGGGAGAAATAATCTATTAATTGCCTGAATTGCCTGCTATATGCATACGGGCACTGTTCTGTTTTTCTAATAGATATACTTCTTTCCATGTTTGACCAAACAGGTTCTTGTGGAACAGTGTATCATGCTCTGTGGTATGGTTCGGTATGTATGCCCCATTATGTGATTATTGAAGTAACAGTTAACAATAAATCCTGAATATTTATCATGTCCTACTCCTTGTAGGATGTGGCAGTTAAAGTATTCTCCAAATATGAATACTCAGAAGACATGATACTCACCTTCAGGCAAGAGGTAGATATTTACTGTCCTATTGAGTCAAATAATTAGGACTGCAATTTCTTTTTCAGATTGCACACACTAGAGTTCACAGGGCTCATAGTAGTTATGTCTTTCTTTTTTTCTATGTATTGACACGGTCATATAGACAAACATGAAAAATAAGGGTGAGCTGCTGAGAGACAGAATATTTTTTTTATCTTGTGAATTGTTTTAGGCCGTAATGCCATAGAGATCAATAATATGCTCTTAGCTTTGTTTATCCTATTATTATGATTTATAATCTGTAATTATATACATAGCCCATATTTCCATCTTTCATTTGTCTAGGTAGCATTGATGAAGAAACTACGCCACCCCAATGTGATACTCTTCATGGGTGCAGTTGCGTCTCTCCAACGACTTTGCATTGTTACGGAGTTTCTGCCACGGTATGCTTCATATCTCCTTCGACTGAAAGAATCAAGACACTGTAAAAAATTGTGTACATATTTCCCTCTGGTTGTGAATTTCTTCTTTATTGTTGTAAGAGAGGGTGTGTATTTTGAAAAAGGTATATGGCTTAATTATGATGATACAGATAACAGCAAAATTTAAATATTTATTGAGGATTCTCGATGATCTATGTCACAGTATGAAATCTAAGTAGTACCCAACATTTGTTTTTTTGTTTCCACTCTTCGCAAGCCAGGGTGATTTGAAGGACACTTTCCTGTTTAAGAAGTTAACATCTAAGACTGAACTTTCCTGTATACATATATTTTGAAAAGCTCTGTAAAATTTCCAATCCATAGATTATGTACCTGTGAGATGATTGGAGTGGGGCCATAAAATGATGAACCTGAAGTCTTGATGGTTACAGACATAGTGATGTATAATGTATTATTAACATTAGTTGTGTAGTAAGTGAACCTTTTCTTTATGGAACTTGAAGTATTACTGCGGATTTACTTGTGTTATTCTTATGTAATTGTTTCTATGCTCATAAGAGGCCAAAGCTTTCTTTCTTCTTTCTTTTTTTTGCCTACCTTTACTTTACACCAAAAACTGTACCACATAATGCAGAGGGAGTTTGTTTCGCTTACTTCAAAAGAATGCTGGCAAGCTGGATCCAAGACGGCGAGTTCACATGGCTATAGACATTGTGAGTGCATTTTCTCTTAAAAGCTCGTTCTAAAAATGGCCAGTACATTATGTTCTGCGGAACATCTGTGGCATGAGCAGATTGTAACAAAAACTGGATGAACATTCTTCACCTGAAGAAATCAAGAGAAGTTTTTTACTGTTATGGAATTATTTTCACAAATGTGTAGAAAAAAAAGCTGAATTGTGTGTGACTAAACCATGTCTTTAAGATTCAGCATGTGAAATGATGAAATGCAAAAAATAAAATGATATCATATATGTTCCATCTAACAAAGTTGCTTCTTCTATTTCCCCGCAAAAAAGGCTGCTTGTTCTATATTATACATTCCATTACTATGATTTAACTGAGGATTCTATCACTGAAATCCAATCAATAATTGAACTGATATGATTATGATGTGAATTATTGTTGTTCCAACCAACTTTTGTATCATTCTTATTCTTGTTGAGGCTTTGGAACTACAGGAATAATATATTGTGACTCCAAATTTTGTTCAATAATTACATATTTTGCCTGTGTAGAAACTTCGATTACCATGTTGTGTTTCAGAACATAACTTATATATTTCTGCAGGCAAGAGGCATGAATTATCTCCACAATTCCAGCCCACCTATTGTCCATCGTGATTTAAAATCATCAAACCTTTTGGTCGATAAGAACTGGACTGTTAAGGTAAATCCGAAAGTTAGTTCTTTCTTCATATCTTTTATGTATTAATTATCTTCTCATTGTTTTTAATTTTATCAGGTTGCGGACTTTGGTCTTTCACGTCTCAAACTCGAAACATTTCTGACAACAAAAACTGGAAAAGGAACAGTAAGTGCAAGCAAGCTCTACTTAATTTCACATGGATTCTCCGGACTGACAAGACTTAGATAAATTTTAAATTTGTGCTAATGTTTTCTGTTTATTGCAAAATATCTTGTTTTTGTTTTGATATTCAGCCACAATGGATGGCTCCAGAGGTATTACGTAATGAACCTTCAAATGAAAAGTAAGTTCACCGTTCAGAATTGCTCAACATAATTTCTCTGACTATCCATAGGTGGTTTGCTCAATTTTGTTTTCCTTTTCATAAAGCATAGGTCTGATGTGTACAGCTACGGAGTTATCCTATGGGAAATTGCTACTCAGAAGATACCATGGGATAATCTCAATACAATGCAGGTACATTTTGGCAATGTATTTGTCTGTTGGTTAGTTTATTCATCAGAGTTTTTTTATCATATTATTCGTTGAAAAACTATGCAGTTGTGAATTCGATAGCATAATTTACTTATAGCATATAAAAAAAGCAAACCTCAATAATATAATTGTGTACTGGTGGTGATATTAGGACTTAACAGCCGTTTGCAAGTTGCAACAACATATATCTTTCATCATGTGTTTGGGTGCACTGGTCATTGTCTAAATTTATCTGCACATAGTTTTCCTGTTTCAGACTATGCTTGTCAGTTTGCTGTTGCTAAAAAAAAAAGACCATATTATCTTGTCAAAATGGTCCTCATTGTCAGGATAGGATAGGAGAAGTCCATAAATACCATCTCTGCAATTTATACATAAGTATTAGCAATGTGTCTAATTGAACTGTTGGTAAAGCATTACTAGAACATGAAAGATTCCTAACAGTGTGATCCCAAATGTTGCAGGTTGTTGGAGCAGTGGGGTTCATGGACCACAGGTTGGACATTCCAAGCGATGTTGATCCTCATTGGGCGTCGATGATCGAGAGTTGCTGGGACAGGTGCACATACTATATATATTTTTTCGACATTTCAACATACTACTTCTTTGCAAATTCCGAAGAAACAACTGTTCTCAATGTAAAACAACTGATCCTAGTATTCAACAAACCTATCCTTTCTGCGAGCAGTGACCCGCAGCGTCGCCCTTCGTTCCAAGAACTGCTAGATCAGCTCCGAGATCTGCAGAAGCAATACAACTTGCAGGCTCAACTGCAGCGAACTGCAGCTGCCAAGATGAGTGTTGACGATTGCTAACTTCAAAATCTGAATGGTCCATGTTCAGCTTGTTGCCAATATGAGGTCCCAGCAGGCCAGCAAAATGGGATTCGTTAGGAGTCCAGTCTAACCAAAAAGGGTTCTGAATTCTGAACATTTTGCTACTTTTCTGAAGAAGCTGTGGCAGCAATTGAGTTTGTGCCAGAAAAAGATGGTGCATTCGATCTGAAGCCTGAAGCTCTGCAACTGCAATTCAATCAATCTTCCAGCAGTGATGACCGATGAAATTTCGGCAGTCATCGAATACAATGCTGTATTCACCCTATTAACCATGTACATGATTTTTTTTAAAAAGAAAAGGTTGTTGTTGGTATTCTGCAATGTACTAGTACTTGAGATTATCGCCGAGTTAATCAGTGTCAGAAAAAAAGAAAAGAAAATTCACAGAGCAAGTGATCAATGCTGTCAATTATAGAGGGAGTATGTTACGTGTCAAATACTTTAACATTCGAAATTCTAAACTCTAAGGTATCCAAAATGATAGAGCACGGGGAATTTACTATCTCGCAATAATTACATATAATTACCCTTCAAAAATAACAACAATAAGGTGAAAGCATTGATACGATGGTGGAGTCGTGGGGTGCATAACTTCTTTCACCAAGTTCAAATCCTGGTGCCTATAAATATTACGTACTCTATATAAGTGGACTTTCAATATTGAGAAAATTTGATTCATAGCATAGGAAAAAAAGCGGTACCAACAAATAGCACAAGAATTTTTCGCTTTCGATCAAAAGCACAGGCCACCGTTTTTTCTTCGCCCCATAGCACTTCCGTCAGGTTTGGAGCTAACAGAGTTAGGTTGAAGTATATAAAAATTTTGTTGGACCCATTTGTCCTTCGTCTTCCTCGCTGTAATCTCCCATCCTGTGTCATCTCGTCCTCTCGGGTTAGTGCCCACGACGACGGCGTCGGCACCGTCGCCAATCAGTGACGCAGCGACGATCCCCGTCCCCAGGCGCGCCACCGCCGTCCCCATCCCCAACCGCACTGCCAAGCCGAACCACACATCTTCACCATTCTCTGTCCCTGCCGGCTCCCGTGGCGATGACTGCAGCAGCTGTAGGAGCCCTAGCTGGTTTCCATCGGGCCCTACCACCGCGGCCGAGACGAGCTCCGTGCCACAAAGCAACACAAGTGGCGCTTCCTCCGCCGTTTCCTCCAGCGAGCACCAACCGTCCCGCTCTCTTACTTCGTGGACGCGGTTTGGGCTGTTGAGCAGTGCGCTCGATGCTGCTACAGTGAGAGCGCGACCATCTTCGACGGCGACGGCGACGGCAATGACTTTGCGGAGATGCTGCTCCTCAACAGCTGCTTTATCCTCGAGTTCTTGGCAAAAGCTGAGCCGCGCCAATCGAGGGACGAAACAACGCTGTCGAGGAACTCTGGATGGCTCATATGAATCAGGACAATATGGTCTTTCTAACTCTTGACTAACAGCTAAACTGTTCATTGGAACGATGACCACGACGAAAGTGCTACGGGGCGAAGAAAAATCGGTGGCCTGTCCTTCTGATCGAAAGCGAACAATTCTTGTGCTATTTTTTTATTACCGTTTTTCTTCTTCTTATGCTATGGATCGAATTTTCTCTTCAAAATTCATCTCTTAGCGAATGAGTTAGGGGACGGACGTGCGATATGTGTTTGCTGTCAACTCGCCAAAAGAAAATTAACATCAATAATAATAATTATAGCCCTTAAAAAAATAATAACAGCAACAATAATCCCTATGCCAATTGGGGCCCACCAAGAGTCCAGGATATGTATAGCATGTGCGGTGTGTGAGTGTGAGCCAAGCTTTGGTACGCGCAGCACTTCTTCTCATCCCTTCCCCGAACTCACGAACGCACGCCGCCACCACCGCCCACCGTCGTCTCGTCGGAGATGGCCTCCTCCGCCTCATGGCCGGCGTTCGGAGTGTAATGTGCCTTCTCCTCCTCCTCCTCTTTCTCAGCTGTACAGGAGCTTGATTCGTTATCACGTCGTTTCCTTAGATCGATATAGACCCCCCAACATTTTTGGTGGCTTGTTGCTTTGGTTCGAATCTCTCGCCTTCGATTTCCTACTTGTAGATGATGGATAACATGGAGGAATGCTTGTGATTTTGAGGATTTTTTTTAATGCCTACTTTGTTTGTCCCCCCTTCCTTATTCTAATGGGTTTTAGGGTTAAGAATTTGTAGATCTGAACATGATCTTGCATGATTAAAATATGGGTAAAGTAGCATTGAAGCATTTGTTGCATCTTTGGTGTGGTATATGTGGGCCATGTGGCATTACATTACTTGGGTTGCAAAACCCTATATTTGTGTGAATTTGTAGATTTGATTGTTTAGATAGAAAAAAAATGACCTGGATTTGTGAACCTGAATGAGTTTTAGTTAATAATTTTCACATCTGGACATGAACAGGAATAATTAAAATTTGGGCAAAGTAAAAAGTGGTGTCTTTCTACTTTCTAGGGTAGCTTGAATGGCAGTACATTCCTTGCTGTGGCATAAACCCATCTAAAATCCTAGATTTCTGATGTAATGGGGTTTACACCAAGAATGTGTGGATCTGGATGCGAAATATCTGATGCTATGAGACTAAAATTCCTTCAGTAATTACCGTTCTTATGAAAATTATTAGGTTGCTTATATATACTGCACTTGCTCGTAGATCTGTGGGATTATAATTGGTTTTAGTTAATAATTTGCAGATTTTGGACATGAATATGAATGGTTAAAATTTGGTTTAAGCAACTGATGTATTTTGAGGGTACCACCGATGGCAGTATATTCTTTGTGGTAGCATTTTTTGTAGTGAAAAATCTTAGGGGTGGCATAAATTCACCAAAAGTCTAGATTTCTGATATTCTAATGGGGTTTATGTCAAGAATTTATAGATTAGAAACAAAATCTGATGCTAATATTTCACCACCGATTGACACACTTAAATTCCTCATCATTCTTGAAAACAGAAAACTATTCTAACTAGCCTGTACCATTCTTTGATTGCTTACAATTCATTCGCTAGTAAATCAATTCCTAACCTACCTACTCTTGCTTGCTATTATCTCCAGAAGCCCAGAGGAAGCAGGGAAGGGTAAATGGTACATCGCAACTGCTGCTACCAACCACATGACCAATGACAAGAGCCTCATCTCCGACCTCAAGCCTGTCGCCGATGGCCGTAATATCATTGCTGATGGCAATGGTGCAGGGTTGAAGGTGCAGGGCAGGGGAGCTGTGAACACAGAAACTGTGGTTCTCCCTGCAGAAGTGTGGTATGTGCCGGAGATTGATGAAAACTTGGTTTCTGTTGACCAGCTCAATGAACTTGGCCTCAGTATTTCGATTGGCCGAGGTGTATGCACCGTCACTAGAGTTAGTGATGGATCTGTAGTTGGCAAAGCGCGTAGATCAGGTGGAGTCTATGAGGTGGAATTCCTCAAGGTTCCCCTTAATTAGCACCAGAAATTCCTTGCTGCAGTATCAGTTGGGGTAGTCAGACTCGTATGATGATATTGCCTACTATATGCAATGCTTGTTGGGTTGGAACTTAAGTTGGATCTTTCAGTAGTTAAGGGATCTGGAGTTTTCTCTGAATGTAAAAACTAAAAAGTGAAAGAAGGAGCTGCCTGTGAGCAGAACTGAGGATTTTACCATGTTGGTTTGACCTTGTCTTTTACCACTGTTTTTAAGTTCCTGTAGCCTGTTGAGCTGTTCATATCCATCGACTTGCAATTGCCATTTCAGTTTCAGTGTTCCTGCCCTGCTGATTTATTGGTGATCATTTTCAATCTTGTGCTGTAACCTGTAACTTCAGTATGTCAATGATTATCTTTGCAAGGTTCTCTCTTGTCGACCAATTTTCCATGCATGATGTTACACGTTACAGCAAAGCTCTTTAGGCTGTGTGTGGAGGTTGGCGCACGCAAAATGATGGGATAGATTAGCGTATATAATTAATAACAATGGGATAGATTAGCATATACTTCCTCCGTCAGGGCATTTGCAAATTTGCCACCGTTTTTTTCAATTTTGCAAGGATGCTATTCGAATGACAGTTCTAGTGGTATTTTTGCAATTTTCTAGTGGTAGTCTTGCAATAACAATTCAAAGTAGTGGTAAATTTGCAATTGCTCATCCTCCGTTTTATATTATAAGACTTTCTAGCATTGCCCCTGAATTTTAGAGGTAGTAATTAATTTCATACTTAATTTTTTTTGAAAAAGAATTAGTATGAAATTTTAAAAACAACTTTCCTATAAAAACATTTTTATAAAAAATATACCGTTTGACGGTTTAAGAAATGTGCACGAAAAACGAGAGAAAAAGTAGGACACATTGACAAAATAACACAACTTATACCTCCATTCATGACAAATTTGGTTCAGAAAAATAGTAATTACTCTAAAATAATAATAGCAATCTCATAATATTTGCCGTTCAAAAAAAACAATAGCAATAATATTAGTAATAATAACCCTTCAAAATAATTAATAATAGCAATAATACTCCCTATGACAACCGGGGCCCACCAGGAGTCGACTAGTCGAGGATACTGGATACTCCTACATATATGCGGTGTGCGAACCAGCTTGTGTGTACACGTAGCAGTTTCTCTCGTCTTCTCCCCGAGCTCTCGCCGCCTCGCCGCCCTCGGCCTCGCCACCGCCCGCCGACTCGTCGGAGATGGCCTCCTACCCGGTGTTCCAAGTGTAATGTGCCGTCTTTCCCCTCCCATCTCCTCCCCCTGCACACGTGCTCTGTACATATGGGTTTGATTCCTTGTCGCGCGTGCGTCGTTTCTTTGGATCGATCTGGAGGACCCCATCCTTTTTTTGGTGGGTTGTGCTTTGTTTCAAGTCTTCCATGTTCAGATTTCATTTGTTGGAAGATGTTGTGCAAGATGGAGGAATGCTTTGGGATTTGATGATTTCTTGGGAATACCTACTACTTTGTTTGTTTCCCCTTTTATATTCTAGTGGGTTTTAGGTTTAAGAATTTGTAGGTTTGGACATGGTCTTACATGATTAAAATATGGGTAAAGTAGCATGGAAGCATTTGGTATACCTTTGGTGTGGCATTGCATTCTTTATAGTGGCACTTCTAAAGTTTCAATTTTTTTTTTTGGGGGGGGGGGGGTGATTGTTGTAGCAAAGCCCTAGATTTGTGAGATTTTTAGGGGTTTTATGCCACGAATTTGTAGATCTGATCATTACCCAGAACCACGAAGCCCTAGATTTGTGTGTATTGAATGGTCTTTACTTATAAACTTGCAGATCTGGACATGAACAGGAATAATGAATTTGGGAAAAGTATTGCATTTTTGCCTATTTCTATGGTAGCTTGAATGGCAGTGTATTCCTTGCTGTGGCATAAATCCATCCATAACCCTAGTTTCAAGTGTTGTATTTTCAGGGTAGCATGAATTGCAGTACATTCTTTGTTGTATCAAATTGTACGAATGCTCAGAACCTAGTTTCTGAGATTTAGTGGGGTTTATGCCAAGAATTTGTAGTTCTGGATGCGAAAAATCTGATTCTGATGGTTGCGATCTAATCTAAGCTAGCCTTCATCATTCATAGATTTCTTGCGCTGCATTCGCTCCTAGATTTGTGGGATTTTAATGGGTTTTTAGTTAATAATTTCGAAATTGAGACATGAACATGATTGAAAATTAGGTAAAGTAGCAAGTGATGTGCTTTTAGGGTAGCATCAATGGTGTACATTCTTTGCAATTTCATTTTTTAAATCTTGGGAGAGAATAAAGCCACCCATAAGCCTAGATTTATGAGACTGCAATGGCGTTTATGTCAAGAATCTGTAGATTAAGAAGTGAAAATCTGATGCTAATGTTTTGCCAACAGTCTAAATTTCCTTCAGTGATTAACGATTATTGTTTTTGTGCACTAATGTAGCTAGCCTGTACCTTCTTGATTGACATTCATTCCTGAATCAAGTCCTAACCTGCTACTGTTGCTTGTTACTATCTCCAGAAGCCCAGAGGAAGCAGCGAAGGGTAAATGGTACATGGCAACTGCTGCTACCAACCACATGACTCGCGACCAGAGCCTCATCTCCGACCTCAAGCCTGTGACCGGCCGTGTCGTTAGCCGTGGCAATGGCGCAGGGTTGAAGGTGCATGGCAGTGGAGCTGTGAACACAGAGACGGTGGCGATCCCAGACGTGTGGCATGTGCCGGGGATCAACGCGAACCTGGTTTCTGTTCCCCAGCTCTCTCTACTTGGGCTCAACATTTCGTTCGACCGTGGTGGCTGCACTGTCACTAGAGCTAGTGATGGATCTGTAGTTGGCAAAGCGCGTAGATCAGGTGCGATCTATGAGGTGGAATTCCTCAAAGTTCCGCTTAATTAGCACCAGAAATTCCTCGCTGCAGTATCAGTTGTGGTAGTCAGACTCATATGGTGGCTAATATCGCGTACTGTTTCCAATGCTTGTTGGGTTAGAACTTAAGTGGGATCTTTCAGTTGTTAGTTAAGGATCTGGAGGTTTTTCTGAATGTAAAAAGTGAAAGAAGGATGATGTTGGTTATGTCGCTGGCTATGAGCAGAACTGATGAGTTTACCATGTTGGATTGACCTTGTCTTTTACCACTGTTGTTAAGTTCCTGTAGCCCGTTGGGCTGTTCATATCCATCGACTTGCAATTGTTATTCCAGTTTCAGTCTTCCTGCATCGCTGAATTATGTCTGATTATCTTTGCAAGATTCTCTTCCGTCGACCAAATCTCCATTCATGTTGCATGGTAGTATGGTACATGATAGAGTTCCATCGGTAGTCCTAAAATGAATAAGCTAAAGCCAAAATTTAAATTTTAAAATTTAATTTTGAAGTTGGATTTAAGGTATTTTTAACATAATTTTTTTAGCTTTGGCTTTTAAGTTGCTAAGATTATTTATACATATAAGTTTTAGATGCAAAATTACCTTTTTTTTTATCTCTAATAAACTGTCACTCCTGTCTCAATTCTCCACGTTTGGGGTAAAAATGGGACGTGTATTTTTCGTCCGTCCACCTATATCAATTATTCAATTCATGGCAAAATTTGGTCAGAGGAAAACACTAATTACTCCCAAAAATAAAAGGAATAATAATTGCCCTTCAAAAGTTACTCCGTAATACTGGAGTAATAGCAATAATAACCCTTCAAAAAAATTAATAATAGCAATAATACTCCCTATGCCAACCGGGGCCCACCAGGAGGAGTCCACGAACCACGATACATAGGGACCCGATACATATGTGTGTTGCGGTGTGAACCAGCTTGTGTGCGCGTAGCACTTTCTCTCATCTTCTCCCGGAGCTCACGCCCTCGCCGCCTCGGCCTCGCCACCGCCGCCGACTCGTCGGAGATGGCCTCCTACCCGGCGTTCCAAGTGTAATGTGCCCTCTCTCCTCCCCCTCCTCCTCCTAGCTCAACCCCTGAACACGTGCTCTGTACATATGAGCTTGATTCTTTATCGCGTCGTTTTCTTTGATCGATCTGGACCCATCTTTGTTTGGTGGATTGTGCTCTGGTTTCATGTTCAATTTCATTTCTTGGAAGATGCTGTGCAAGATGGAGGAATGGTTTGGGATTTGAGGATTTCTTGGGAACACCTCCCTACTTTGTTTATTTCCCCTTCATATTATAATGGGTTTTAGGTTTAAGAATTTTTAGATCTGGACATGATCTTATATGATTAAAATATGGGCAAATAGCACAGAAGCATTTGGTGCATCTTTGTTGTGGCACATGAGGCATTGCATTATTTGTAGTAGCACTTTCAAGGTTTCAATTTTTAGGGGTAACTACACCATTAAAACCCTAGATTTGTGATATTTTAAGGCGTTTTATGCCACGAATTTGTAGATCTGATCATTTACACAAAACCACATAACCCTAGATCTGTGAGTCTTATTGGGTTTTAGTTTGTTGTGGCACATGAGGCATTGCATTATTTGTAGTAGCACTTTCAAGGTTTCAATTTTTAGGGGTAACTACACCATTAAAACCCTAGATTTGTGATATTTTAAGGCGTTTTATGCCACGAATTTGTAGATCTGATCATTTACACAAAACCACATAACCCTAGATTTGTGAGTCTTATTGGGTTTTAGTTTGTTGTGGCACATGAGGCATTGCATTATTTGTAATAGCACTTTCAAGGTTTCAATTTTTAGGGGTAACTACACCATTAAAACCCTAGATTTGTGATATTTTAAGGCGTTTTATGCCACGAATTTGTAGATCTGATCATTTACACAAAACCACATAACCCTAGATCTGTGAGTCTTATTGGGTTTTAGTTAATAATTTGAACATCTGGATATGAACAGCAATAATTAAAATTTGGGCAAAGTAGAAAGTGTTGTACTTTGCCTATTTTTAGGGTAGCTTGAATGGCAGCACATTCCTTTGGTGTTGCATAAACCCAACCAAAACCATAGATTGCTGATACTCTAATGGGGTTCACATCAAGAGTTTTTAGATCTGGATGTGAAAAATCTGATGCTAATGTTTTGCCAACACCCCTGACCGTTTGACACTAAAATTTCTTCAGTGGTTACCGTTCTTCTGAAATAATCTAGCTAGCATGTGCCATTCTTAGATTGCTTACACTGCATTTGCTTGTAGATTTGTCGGATTCTGATGAGCTATGGTTAATAATTTCTGAATCTGTACATGAACATGAAGGGTTGAAATTTATGTAAAGTAGCAAGGGATGTATTTTTTGGGCAGCATCAATGGTGGTACATTCTTTGCGGTAGAATTTATCAAAACGTCAACTCTTAGGAGTGCATAAAGCCACCCAAAAGCCTATATTTCTGACGCTGTAATGGTGTTTATGTCAACAATTTGTTGATTAAGAAGTGAAATCTGATGCTAATGTTTTGCCAACAGTCTACCGATTGACACTAAATTCCTTCAGCGATTAACGATCATTGTTTTGCAAACTAATGTAGCTAAACCTTGTACCTTCTTCATTGGCATTCACTCCTAAATCAAGTCCTAACCTGCTACTGTTGCTTTGCTACTATCTCCAGAAGCCCGGAGGAAGCAGCGAAGGGTAAATGGTACATTGCGACTGCTGCTACCAACCACATGACCCGCGACCAGAGCGTCATCTCCAACCTCAAGCCCGTGACTGGCCGTGTCGTTGGTGGTGGCAACGGCTCAGGATTGCAAGTGCATGGCAGTGGAGCTGTGAACACAGAGACGGTGGCGATCCCAGACGTGTGGTATGTGCCGGGGATCAATTGCAACTTGGTTTCTGTTGGCCAGCTCTGTCAACTCGGGCTTGAAGTTTCGATTTTCCGAGGTGTCTGCACCGTCACTAGAGCTAGTGATGGATCCGTAGTTGGCAAAGCGCATAGATCAGGTGCAGTCTATGAGGTGGAATTCCTCAAAGTTCCGCTTAATTAGCACTGGAAATTCCTCGCTGCAGTATCAGTTGTGGTAGTCAGACTCATATGGTGGCTAATATCGCCTACTCTATCGAATGCTTGTTGGGTTAGAACTTAAATGGCACCTTTCAGTAGTTAGTTAAGAATCTGGAGGTTTTCTGAATGTAATTGAATGAATGATGCTGGTTATGTTGCTGCCTATGACCATGAGCACAGAACTGAAGAAATGCTTACCATGTTGGTTTGACCATGTCTTTTACCTTCCTAGCTTGTTAAAATTGTTACCATCTTTGTTCGACCTTATGTTTTTTACCATCCTTGTTAAGTTCCTGTAGCCTTGTGGGCTGTTTATATCTGTAGCCTTTTCGACGAGGGAAGATTGCCAACTTTCGAAAGCGCCAAGAAAAATAACCTTGTCGGTTTGGACCGACAAAAAATATACCTTTACTTGGCGGCAATGAAACCGCAAAGAATACTTATTCTTGGCAGTCGGAACCCCGCCAAGGAAATTTCTTTGGCTGTTTTTTTTGGCCGCCAAAGAAATCACTTTGCCGCCGGAATTTTTTGCTGAATTGAAGTTATTTTCAAGAGCATCGTGTACTCTCGTGAACAAATTAAAGCTGAAAAAAGATTGTTTACCATCAGTTGATTTATGAGGTTTTAAACCGGCGATCAAAGCGGAATTAGTTTGGAGGAATGAGATCCACTAGCAGCAATTAATGGGATAAGAGTATTGGGATCGGGACAGGGAAATGGATGAAGGGCTATGATGAAATGAGGGAGGGATAATAGATGGCTAGGATTAGAAGAAACTCTTTGGTGGGTGGGAAAATATTTCCCCAACCCATTAGCCAAACAGGCCCTATATATGTGTGTATATATATATATATGTATATGTATATATATATATATGTATATATGTATATGTATATGTATATATATATATGTATATGTATATATATATATATATATGTGTGTGTGTGTACGCGTCAAACAACTAATTTGGAGCGTATTTGGTGGCTAACTCCCTTTTTATGAGAACAGCTGATCCGAACTAACTCGATCGATCCAGTTGGCTTGCGTCGTCGTACGCGTCGATAGTCTTCGTCGTCGGAGATCGATCATGGCACCTCGCAAAAGGTCGCATCCTAGAAGGTAATTAACGTGCCTTAATTAATTCTCCTCCTCATCCTCATCTTCATGTTCAATGATGCATATATACGTACGTGCTCTGTATCTTTAGTGCTAGATTGATTGCATTTAATTTGGGTTTATATTAGATCTCGGCTACTCATTTGTTTGGAGGATTATTGTGCCTTGGTTCGAATCTTTTTTGTTCTTTTGTATTTAATTTGTAGTCAAACGCTACTTTGTAGCTGATTTGTGATTTCTGACATACATGTTGGAAATGCTTGAGATTGGAGGCTTTCCAGTGAATATACCTAGGTTGTTTGTTTCCTTCTCTTTTTTTTTCATGTATATTCTCAGAACTTGAACAGAGAACCCTAGATTTGTGATATTATAATAAGTTTTAGTCAAGAATTTGTAGATATTGCGCGCCATGGACATGATTGATTGAAATAATATGGGTAAAGTAGCAGCTAGGTGGCATATTATTTTTTGGGTGGCATCAATGGTACTGCATTCTTTTCGGTAGCATTTCTGCACATGTCAATTATCTATCAGTTGTGGCATAACCCTTAAAGCCGCTTACTCCCTCCGTCCCAAAAAAAACGAATATAAGATTGGATATGACAAATTCTAGTATAACGAATCTGGACATAGGTGTGTTCAAATCTATAGTACTAGGTGTGTCACATCCAGTACTAGGTTGGTTTTTTATGGGACGGAGGGAGTAGACTTTTTTTTTTTTGTCAAGAATTCAAAGATTTGGACATGAAAACCAGATGCAAATATTCCTTCAGTAATTTTAATTTGTTCTTGTAACAATTAACCTAATCCAGCCTCTATCATCTCTTGATTGCTATACTGCGTTCATTCCAAATCCAAATCCTAACCTGCAACTACTGTCACTTGCCATCATCTCCAGAAAACCAGAGGAAAGAGCAAATGTCAATGTCAGCAGTCTCAACAACATCTTCATAAGTGCAGAGCCCGGAGCAACATTTCCTAGATGGTTCATCACAGAAGCTGCTACAAACCACATGACCAGCGACAAGAGCATCTTCTCCGACCTCAAGCCTATGGCCGGCCTTGTCATCGACGACCGTGCCGGCGCCGGCGCAGGGTTGCCGATGCACGGCATTGGAGCTGTGTACTCATGGGAGGTGGCGCTCCAAGATGTGTGGTATGTGCCGGGGATGAGTGCCTACATTGGCTTAGTTTCTGCTGGTCAGCTCACTGCAATTGGTCTCAAAACTGAGATTGCAGGAGATGTCTGCACCATCACTAGTGCTGATGGATCTGAAGTTGGCAAAGGGCGTATGGTTAGTGATAAAATCTTTCAGGTGGATTTCCTCCGAGTTCCGTTTAATTAGTTCCTGAAATTTCATTCCTTGGAAAAAAATAACTTGGAATAGTTTTTATGTAGTAATTTTTAGTTTGGAGTAGTTGAAGGATCTGGATGTTTTTTCTTCTGAATGGAATTGAAGCAACGATGATGATTTTGTCACTGAACAAAAAAGTTATCTAGAATGGTCTTATTTGGCCTCTATGAGTAGAACTGAAGAACTGTTTACCATCTTGTTCTGGCTTGTGTTGGCTTGTGTTTTACCATCCTAGCTTGTACTGCAGGTTGTTAATGGCTATCATTTTGCAATTGCTACGGAAAGTAATTTATCTGCTTGGGGGGGGGGGGGGGGGGACGTCTTCCCCAGCTCCGCACCACACGATATGCGCAGCGATTCGTGCGTACACCCGACCACAGCAGGGTATTTCCCCGCTTGCCCGCGTTTAACCCATTTTCTAGCTGACCATGGAAATACGCCTTTTATACGTGGGACCCACCTTGCAGTTGTCGCTCACGGGGGAGCACTTCTTCCTCCTCCTCCGCCGGCCAACGCCTCCACCCCAATCCCATTACCATCCAAGCTACATCTTCCCAACCCAGGGCATGATCACTTTAATGCCAAAAAAAACCTTATTAAAATTTACTAAAATTTTGCCAAAATTTTGTCAGGATTTTTTATATAGTTACAAAAATTTGGCAGCAAATTAAATGTAGCCACTTTTTTGATAACTTAACCAAAATTTGGTAAGGTTGAAAATGGCATCAAAGTGAACAAACCCCCAGACAGCTGCGGAACGCCGGCTAGGAACAACACAGCCCTAGCCATGGCATTGTGGAAGGAGATGATAGAAGAGAGATGGAAGTCCTGACATGTGGGCATTGTGGAAGGAGATGATAGAAGAGAGATGGAAGACCTGACATGTGGGCCCAAGGCATTTTAGAACTTTTATACCATTTCTCTCCTCTTCAACCAGAAATTATTATTTTAATGGATGTAGTGTCCACCAACAAATATCTAACTTTTGAGAGTGTTTTTCCCCAAAAGTCACTTCGCACGATGTATTATAGCTAAAACCACAAAGTCACAATGCGGCTTCCCTGTTCCTATGTTGTGTTCCCCTCCCTGTCACTGCCAGATGTCCTCCCTCTATTGGCTGCGGCTTTTCTAGTGGACCCAGGCCATTCGCTCGTTTTCTTTTTTTAACGCAAACAACGTTAACATCTGGAATGGCTCGTTCCTAATCGGTGCCTAGGTTGCCGACCAATGTTCCACGCGCCAAAGGTAGGCTGTGACATGGAAGAAGCGCCGGAGTGGCCGACGCCGCCGGAGGCCGCGGTGACCATGACATTCAATCTGGGCAGGGTGTCCAGGGCGGCGCTCATCGCCTTGAGCGAGCGCGGTGACAGCCTGGAGAGCGGCAGGGATGCACCCACCGCCGCTATGGATCCATGAAGTAAAAAAAAATCTTAGCGCCCAGGAAATTTCGAAGACGCTGACTCCACCGCCGAACGCCCGAACTACATGACTTCTTCGGCGAGATCACTTGCTCATGTGATTCTTTTAGCTTCCTAGCACATATCATCTTAAATTCTTAAGTATTACCTGAAATTTATGGGAACTTCCTAGGCATGCAGGAATGGCCGGACCATGCCCGACCACCCTTGTCTTCCTCATTGTTCTCTCCAACAAGGAGATCCTCCTCATCAACAAATCAACAATGGCAAGCAGCTGTCCTGTGCTTCAACTTCTTCACCGGTAAGCAGCTGTCCTGCACGCGCATATTGTCCATCGATGGCAATGGCAAGCACTGAAATTGCCTTGCCTGCCTAATTGCCCCGCCTAGGGCACGCCACAGCAGTGTAAGGGAAAGAAAACGGAGATTGCTGCCGTTTGCTTCAAAAAAGAAACGGAGAGGTTAAGCCGTTTAGATGAAAAAAAGGAGCGTAAGGCCCTGGGCCCGCTGGAGAAGTGATCGCCAATAGAGCGAGGACATCTGGCAGGGGACATAGATAGAAACACAGCGTCGGAACAGGGAAGCCGCATCCGTGTCCACCAATAAATATCTAACTTTTGAGAGTGTTTTTCCTCAAAAGTCACTTCGCACGATGTATTATAGCTAAAACCACAAAGTCACAATGTCCTGTAGCAAAATTTGATATATAAGTAGTATGTATCTCACTATTCATACATCAATAGCTAAGGTGCTAGTTTTGTTGGCTTGTTGCACTAGCACGCCCTCGAGTGTTTAGTTTTTTTTCCTTCTTCCACACACGAATCTTAAAGCGTATCCGGTGGCCCAAAATGTGAATGACTTCATCTCTTATTTCTGTCACGAGATATACAGAATATGAGAATAAATATCCTCTTTCGGATGTGCATGATTTTCGAAAAGAAATTTAGATGTGCAAGTTAAATACACGTGCTCTTGCACACACGGAGTTTCCTGTTTCCCGTAGTTTATAATCCACCAACAAATTATCTATAGAAATTACTTTGGTTAACCCGTAGTTTTTCGTAGTTTCCTAATTAACAATGTATTTAATAATCGAAAATGTCAGGGATAATTTTTTTTCGAATTCTCTTTGCTCTAAAATAATTAACAAGACTTAAGGCGGAATATTCAGAGCATCGCAATTAATGTTGCTAATTTAAATTGTCAGGATTTGAATTAATAATATTTTTTCTCTCCCGCCTTTGGTCATGAATCATGCCTGATTCACTCCTCTCTTCGTTCGCGGTTTCGTTTTGCATGACGAGCCGAGTCCGAGTCAGTTTCCGGTTCCAGTTCCGTTCTTTTCCTAAAACAGCACCGCATTTCTTTTCCGGTTTGGTGAAGTCCTAATCCTAATCCAGCTCCCTCCCCCTCCCTCTCGGCCGCGCCCTCCCCCTCTCCCCCTCCGAGTCGGCCCCCTTTCCCCTCCTAATCCAACTCCCCACCGGTCCTGCCTTCCCTCCTATTTTCCCTCTCATATATATGTCCTAGTCCCCCACCTTTTTCTAATCTTTTTTTTGAGCCGCAAGCCGCCTCCGCCCTAAACCTTAGCGCCGCCGCCGCCGCTTGCTGTCCCGCTGCCGTCGCCGTTGCATCGCCGGTACTCCGTTCTCCCTCTCTATTGGTGCGCTTGCCGCTGCAACCATCAATTTATCTAATCTATTCCATTTGTTTCTCATCTAGCGTCGCCGTCGTCTTCGTGTGTTGCCGCCGGACCGCCGTCATCATCTCCTCCTCGCCGGTCGTCTCGGTTTGGTGAGGACCATTCCCGTGATCTCCTGGTTTAGGCTTTATTTTTTCCTAGCGTTATCGTCGTAACCCTAATTATTTAGTCATGCTAAACCCTAGTGTTGCCGCTTCGCTGCCCTAGCTGCGCTGCCTCTGCCGTGCGCCTAGCCACCGCCTAGCCGAGGCACCGCAGCCGCCGCCTTAGCTGTCGCCGCCGCCGCTCTCCCGCATCGTTTTCATGGTTGGTTCGCTGCCCATAGCTCGGTAGCCGAGTCGCAAAGCCGTAGGTGCATCCCTAAACTCCTACCGGCCTTTCGTTTGTCGTACCGAGTCTTTGTCGTAAACCGTGTCTAGTTTACTGGTTTAGCCGTAATCGTTCTAAGCCACCGGTTCCGTTCGCCGGTTCGGTTGACCATTTGGATGGTCCTGTGTCATGAAGTATTGGCTTGTTGAGTCTTTAATTCATGAGTCATGCTTACCGGTGATATATTTCCTTTGTTCTATTTATCTATGGGCAATAATATGTAATAAATGATTAAGTTTTTTCAGCTATTACTAATAAAGCAGCTCATATTGTAAAATTCATAACTAAATAATCCGAGCTCCGTTTTAATCCATTCAAGTTACAGTGAATCCATTAAAATGTATAGAATCCATTAAAATTGGTTTATTTTGCTGTTTCAGTAGCCTTATTGCTTGTATTTCTTGTGTGTTTTGTTTGTCGTTTAGATTCCGTCAGTTCCGGTGATCCAGTTTATTTTGAAGTGGTTGCCAAGGTTTCATCAGCTCAAGAGCAAGGCAAGTCATACATACAACATTGATCATGTTGAACCTATTTTACAAAATCCCTTGCTTTCTATTAAATTGCATTATTTTAGAATGGGATGGATGCCTATCGTACTCTACTTGTTGAATATTTTATGCCATTGATAAATTGGGTTATAATTGACTAGATGATTGGGTTAGGAATGCTTAGCCATGCTTAGATTAATTAGCTCACAATTGGATTCATTATAATTTAGTCCTTAATTATATTATGATGTACCACCATGGTTATGGTTTAATTAAACTAAAATATACTTTAATGGTGGGTTGTGGGTACATGCATGATTTTGGAAGTCGTGCCCATAACAATTAAGGACCGGTTCTCAGGAATCCCTGGAAGATATACTCGTACTTACCACATGCCAGCGTGGGCTCCATGCTAAATCTAGAGTATAACTTAAACTAGCTGACATATCATGGCAAGGGTAGAGGCGATGGTGCAGTTCGGACCTGTATTTTGGTCTTTGTTGCTTCCGAATTTACCTATGCATGAGAGGGGACTGCCCGACTTGGCACAAGGAGAGGGTGAAACCTGAGGTGGTTATGTTCGGTTAGGGAAGGTTATATGACGGTTTTTGTCACGGTTTCCCCTTTGCAGTATCGTGGCGGTACTTCGGGGCATGGTAACATGTGTGGAATTATGTCTTGTGGGTAAAATTGTACACCTCTGATTAGAGTTAAAACTATTCGAATAGCCGTTCCCGCGGTTGTTGGGCGGTCAACCAGCTCACCATGATTAGTTTCACTATAATAATTTGACCTATAGAACTGGTGTAGTTCAGGTAGTTTGGTTGGGCCTGTTGCAACGTGGTTTTAGCATTGGACAATGATGATTTAATATTTCTTAATTATATACTTCCCCCGTCCCATAAAAAACCAACCTAGCACTGGATGTGACATATCCTAGTACAACGAATCTGGACGAGGAGGGGGGGGTAATGTTTTACTTATTCAAAATATGATTTATAAATGCTGCTTTTACTGCAAATATCCAATGAGCCATTCCTTTGAGAATACCTTGCATCATGCCTTCCCGTTGGTATGACTTGTTGAGTATGGTGGTTGGTACTCAGTCTTGCTTTATCCCCCCCCCACAGAAGCAGAGATTGGTTCAGATGGTGAGTTCTATTAGGATTGAGCTTGTTCAGGACGTCGAGGATTTCCTGTGGTTTATGGAGGAAGCTTCTTTTGGTTGTGAAGATTAAGTCTAGTTTTTTTCTTGTTTTTCCGCTGCGT